ATAGTTGCCTCCATCTTCACCATGATATCATAAATAGCAAAAGCATCTGAAGAATTAGTCTTGTTATTGGTGTCCTCATTATGACTTTCATAAAAAATCCAAATTCTCCATTTCATCTTCTGATAGCTTGATTATTTGTATATATTTTAGCAATCGTTTTCTTTCACTTTTAGCATTTTTAATATTCTTTTTGCATTAAATCGTTAGATTTATTGTTTTGAATATTTTTACTCGTTTAAGCTATTTTTGTGCAGATTTGTACGAGCAAGATGATATTTTAGAGCATCGTTAAAGCCACATCGAATACCCTATAACCAAGATTGAAATCTCGTAGCAAAATCCGGGAGCGAAAAGAAAAACAAAGCGATATAAATTAATTTTTCAGATTTTGACAGCTTTGCGCGGCTTTCTTCAAGCAATCAGACGGAGGGGAAAACTTTGTCCGATTTAGCTGAAATTTTACGAGCATCTTCCCAACTCGTTGATCTTCAATCTCACAAAAAATGTGCTGATTTGGACATGTTTTGGTCGGGTTTTTGGTCTGATGAGCAACAATGCAGATTGCTGTCATATTTAGTTTTGGCAGCCCAATACATGAAGTCCAATATGCAGCCCACGTTAGTATTTTATGGCAACCCAATAGAGCAATTGTACAAGCCCATTTCTGATTAATCCAACAGCCCAGAAAAGAAGTGCAGCCCATTTTCAGAAGCATGAAGCCCACTTTGAACTTGTGCTGGGAATTGAACGCGCAACAATCAAAAGCATCTCATTTATTTGGCCGGCAGTAGGAGTAGTGGGAGTGACGGCACCTTAGGTGTCTCCTCCTTTCTTATTTTTGGAATTCAAACACTATTATCATTGATATCTTTATCATTGATTTTATTATCTTGTAATTTATTTTCTTTAGATTAGGTTAGGTTAATTTTTGTATTAGTACTTGGATTAGGAATGAAGTTTTTTGGAGCAACAAGAAGTGACGATTTCAATGAGCTTTATCATCTTCATTTCGTAATCGGTATTTGTATAATTTCTATCCTTTTTATTGTTATTATTATTTTGCCTAGTTAGTTTTTATTTTCAATATTGGGTGAATCTATGGAACAATTAATTGATTAGTAATAGTTTTGTGTGGTTTTGATGGCATGCTATAAAAATATTTTCTAGTAAAACATCAATTTATGTTCATATGTCTTTAATCATGAATTTAGATATGTGAATATTTAATTAGTTGATTAATTTCTTGATTACGTAATAGATCTTCAAATTAACAAGCAACAAATGGTTCTTGTGATTGTTTTACTTTCACACAATCATGAAAATATTTTCTCCAACATGGTAGTGAAAACATTTTGACTCCTTTTGGATTTGGTGACTTTTAAATCTTAATGCTAGTTAATTTTCATTAATTACATGTTTCATAGAAATTGTGACTTTAACTAAAAAAATGTGTTATGAGTTTCTCTAACCATTGTATTAACTAAAAAAAGTCTAGGTGATCTCAAGTTTCTTAGATTACTATAGCCAAACTAGTATCCATTAAACCCATTGCACCACAAAATTATGATGATTAATCAAATAGTTGAACTTTCGATTTATCCCGATATTGGAATGTTTTATTTTATAGATTTTGTATTTTTCCATTTTTGTTATTTTTGTAAAATAGTTTTTATCGCATTTAACATTTTGAAAACCCCCATATCATTTTATATTTTTTATTTCGTAGAAACTGAATGCATAGATTTGATTCGAACCAATCCTTGTGGATTCAATCCCTATTACCGCTATTACAATTTATTTTTGTATGTCGTCGTATTAGGTTTTTTTTTATTTGGTGGTCTCGACACCCACCATCTTCATTCTTGCGCAAGGAGTGAAAATTGTGTCCTTCCTCTTTATGAATAGACCCATGCCTCTCTATATCAGCTTTCGTATCATTTAGAACATTGGTGGGTAAAGAAAAGGTAAGAGTCCACCCCATGGATTCTTTCACATGAACCTAAAATAAATCTCATCTACCCTCACCTTTACAACTTCAGGTATAGGTATAATAGGTTAATAAGTCGTAAGCGGGTCATATAAACATTTTCCCCAAGATCATCTTCCATGTGAACTATATTACCTCATTTTGCAATAATCTTCTGAATTGCCACTTTACTCCAAGCATAGATTGGTATACCGTCCACATCAACCCATACCAATCTTTATGGAATCATAAAATCCCTATTCCAAGATCTTTTTTCCAATAACCAAGGATCTATAGTTTCATTCAAGATGAAATTATTTCATGCATCAGACGTTTTCAATTCAAGAATGACCTATAACCCATCGACATAACGTAGATTAATATTATTGAACCCCTCATCCATGAAAAGCATACCAAGGTTCTCGAGAGTCAAAAAAATTTCAAGCTTTTTCGAAGCATGCAAGATTATCACCTTTGTCACTCACCACAAAATCACCTGATAGAATTTCGATAATTGAGTCCTTAGCATCCCGACCCTTCAATCCCACCTCTACTGTAGCTACACTCACAACACTAGCATATGACATTCCATGTCATCGGCTCACACCCCATATGAGTAGATTTTTTGTACTTTGTCCCCTTTTCATCCATATTGGTGAATGTTTGTTTCACTTCCCTTCCACCATAGGTAAACTAAGTAGTGGATGTAAAAATATTATAGTATCTAAACCAAGTATCACACAATTTCTTTAGTAAAAGATGCACGTCCCTAAACCTAGTGAACTTCACAAAACCAAAATGTTTTCCTAATTTTGACATCTTTTAGGAAATAATGAAGTCAACCACGTTTCAAATCCTTCCAAACACCCCCAAAGGACTTTTAATTCTTTGAATCTGGAAAACTAGTAATATAGAAGGACTACGATTCAGAAATTACCTAATCAATATCATGGTTCACATACTTCTTTCCTTTTCTCATCGCATGTGTCAAATCATCATCCCCCTCCACCAAGAATGCATACTACCTTCGTGGCCTTCTTAATCATCATAACCTAGGAACTACCCCCCCCCCCCCTCATCAATGTGGTTGGAATAAGCCACTGGTCATCAGAATCGTCATCCCAATCTCAACATATAACGATTATATTTTTTGCATCTATATATTTTGTTGACTTTACAAATAAAGTTTATAAAGCAACATGTATTTTCAAAAATAAATTGGATTAGAACATGTCATGAACAAATAATCCTATAGACCATTGATCCAACTTTTGAACTCTTAATCAAACATTCTATATCAGACCATCTCTTTATGTAATAATGTTTACAAGCAATAATTTTAGGTTTGCATATATACCTACCTTAATCTTGATAATTATTTGATATGTTTTGGAGACATTTATTTCCCTCTTGACTTAATTAGGCCGCCACCCAGGCTTTCACTAAAAATCATAGGGACATATACATCAACAGGCATACATTTGGCAACAAGTAATCCAGAAAATTCTTATAATTATAACAAAAATCGATAAAATACAATGTATATAATCAATGAATCCGACAACAAGGCAGCCGCAAACTTATATGGGGTTTATTTTAGAATGGTGGGGCCCTTTAAAATTTATGTATGGGGTATTGACCCTTTAGTTGTGGTTTCATGTTGTGGATTGATTATGATGCAATATTTAACCTACAAAGGTGTTAGTTTTGACATTGACTTACTCTCACTTATGTGTTGCACATACACGCACGCGTACAAGGTATGACTGATGACATCGACTTACTCTTACTTGTGTATCGCATGTTTAGGTTCATTTATAAAAATGTAGGTGGTCATTTACTTGAAGCATTCACTATACACCTAAGGAGGCATGAGTGTCGACATCTGTCTCCCTCCTACTCCATATTAATGGGATCTTAGGGTCTGTTGATGTTGTCGTTGAGTTAACATATAAAGGTATATAGATTGAGAGAAAATTGGTGGGATAATTGGCCAATTTTATGATGAGCTACCTAAGCTTTGGCTATAGATTGAAGGTAAAGTTCGTTGTATTGTGATGTTGACATGTCCTAACTAAAATCAATGTTCACCATTTTTTCATTAGCTCTTCCCACCCTTCACTATCTTTATGGTATTAATTGAAGGCACAATCAAATGCACCATTGAATACCTTCATGTTTCGTTCAACCGTCATTCTTTTATCAAAATGCATCTTTTAGTGTTATCAGGGCAATATAAAACTTATAATAGCAATGTACTTACATTTCTTTTACAAAATAATATCATGATACTTACTATTCCTTACTCATAATAACAACATACTTAAACTTTTATGGATAATTACGATATATAACAAATAAAGTACATTTCCATATTCGTAGTGAAATACAAATATGATGTTATTATGGATAACAAAAGATAAGTAAGTTTATGTTATGGGTATAAAGTTGTAAGTAAAATGTTATTAAGGAAAATAAATAAGGTGATTTGATGATATAGCACCATTATGTGTACACAGTTAAAAATGCCCAATTATTGAATAAAAAATTTAAAATATCGGTTAAAAGGGCTCGGTCCCTATGATGAGTTACTACGACCAGGCACAAAAAAGCCCGCAACTAAGACATGCATAGGCCCGAGGTTTAAGCACCTCTAATAGACTGGGTTCTCCAGGCTTTTATGTACCAATGGAGCAATCCCATTAACGGAAAATTGGGCTCTAAACAGTTGCAATATTCCACATAAGAATGAATGATCCTCACTTCAAAGCTTTATTTTGAAATGGTTTTTTTATTCAGTGAAGTTTTTGAAATTTGTATAATTCTATCTATTTTGTTTTTTTTCGTATAAATATCTCAAGATTCCATTTGTAAATTTATAGCAAGTATCATAACGAGTAAATTAAATGATTGATGTTTGCTATTTGTAACACCTTTAGTCCATGAGATTTATTTGTTGCACTCTAGGTCCCTGATTGATTCGTAGTAAATTATTGAAAAAAAAAATGTCTTACTCTTACATGTATACGAATGACAAGCTCAATGTACAATTTCTCCAACGTCATTTCATAAAACCACATATGGACATGATTTACATCGGGATTAAATCTCGAAAGATATATAATATGAACAAAAGGGACACTAAATGTAGTCAGTTTTCTCTATGGTTGTGTATTGACCATTTGTTTGTGGTCTTGGAATATATATTTGAGGAGAAAAGTGTTTGGGTGGATTACTATTATCCAGCAGCTGCACGTCGAGCTGCTTTTGCTTTGGATACAGATTGAAGATAAAGTTCTTCATATTGTGATGCTGATGTGTCCCAACTGAAGTCTATGTTCATCACTTTTTTCATCAACTCTTCCCAACCTTCACTATCATTTTTGTAGAATTTGAACGCTCTGTCAAATGCACCATTGAATGCCTGCATGTTTTTATTACATTTAACTTATTATAGATAAATTCATACCAAAATTGGATAAGTAATATAAGCATATTGCTATTTACATGCTCATCAGGTGTTACGAATGTGAATCCATTTCTGAGTTGTATTGGAATCGTATCATCATCAACATCAAAAACACTGCAAACAAAAAAGATTTCAAGGTTAAAAATTCAAAATTTTAAAATCCCAATAGAATATATTTAACCTCGATATTTATACGAGGAAAAACAGAGACCTGTCATTTAGACCACCTGTCTTTCTAGCAATGGGGATTGCACCATATCTCATGGCTATCATCTGAAAATAAAAACAAATTGTTTGTTTATGTACATATATATATATATATATTAATAAGGTATATATTTAATAATTAATATTATATTGTATTGTTGAAGAAAAGTGGACCTGTGTCAAGCCACATGGCTCAAATATTGATGGGATGATGAACATGTCTGATGCTGCATATATAGAATGGGAAAGAGCCTCATCATACTTGAGAATCAGTCGAATATGTTCATGGTTTTGAAATTGCTTTGCAATTTCCTCAAATTCCCTCTACAAAACAAATCACTTTTAATTATCTCTCTAAAAAATATTTTTCCTATAATTTTCTCTTTTAAAATTATCTTACATGGATATTTGGCACAGGACTAGAACCAAGCAATACAAATTGTCCTCCCAATTCCAATGCTCTGTATATTGCATGCCTGATGAGATGCACACCTTTCTGTGGCACCAATCTTGTTATACATCCAACCTGAATGATATATGCATATTTGTATTAAGAAAAAATTGATTTAAATTAAATATAGTTTTAAAAAGGTGTTGAAGGAGAAAAGAAAGTTACCAATGGCCTCCTACTATCAGATAAAGAGAGTCCAAGGTGTCTTCTTAAGACATTTTTATTCTCAAATTTCCCCTCAAGATCACTGGCATTGTATTGGAAACTGAGATATGTGTCAGTTGCAGGATTCCATGAATCAGTATCAATTCCATTCAGAATCCCCACAAACTTTTGAGAATGAGCATTAAGTGTTGCATGAAGCCCTTGTCCTCCCTGTAAAGTATTTGTTACAATAATGATAAATCTGAAAGAAAATTGAGTGATTTTTAATTAAATATTATTTATCCATACCTGTGAAGTTCGCACTTCTTGTGCATAAGTTGGGGACACTGTTGTTACAATGTTAGAGAACACAATTGCACCCTACAATGTATCAATTTCTTAAATATTTTTTAAGCATTGAGAAGTATAAAAAGAAAGAGGGCATTAAAGTAAATTTACCTTAACAGGATTGAGTCTGTCATGTGATGAGTTGTCCTGCATTCTGTCAGGTCTGTTAAGGTGATGAATGTCAAGACCACAAGATGCTATCTCTGAAGCAGATGCAGTTCCTTGATACTCAAAATTATGACATGTGAAACATATTCGAGCAGAATTTAATCCTTTGGGTGCATATAGATCCCAGTAGAGGGGTGCCTGAGTAATTATATAGAAAAGAATATTATCGTTTTGAATCTTAATAGATATAACTGTAATAAAAAAATTAAAAAAATCATACAACAAAAGCTGTCTGCCAATCATGGCAATGGATAATATCTGGTTTTTTTCCAGATTGATGTAGCAGCTCAAGTGCTGCTCTGCTAAAGAATGAAAACCGCTTCAGATCATCAGGTTCACCATATGTTTTTCCTCTCCAAAAAAACTTAGCAGGGTGAAGAGGCTCGATAAAATAAACAGGAAGCCCTAAACATGCAAAAAAAAAAAAAAAAAAAGGTTAAATTTGCTTAAGGTTGTGTTTGTTACACAAGACTAGACAGGCTTTTTAGGGCGATTTTTGATGATGAGGATGAGGAAAAGGGCATTTATGTCTTTTTGCACATAGGAGAGTTAGATAGCACATCCTTGTCCCACCTTTTTGGGTGGGATAAAAATTTCTTAAGCTTGTATTTGTTACACTGATAATAGACGAGCTTTTCAGGGCTATTTTCGATGACGAGGATGAGGACAAGGGCATTTACGTCTTTTTACATATAGGATAGATAGATAGCACATCCTTGTCCCACCTTTTTGGGTGGGATAAAAATTTCTTAAGCTTGTATTTGTTACACAATAATAGATCTTTTCAAGGCTATTTTTTATGATGAGGATGAGGACAAGGGCATTTACGTCTTTTTGCATATAGGAAAGATAGGTAGCACAACTTTGTCCCACCTTTTCGGTTGGGATAATAAAATTGCAATTTTTGTCTCATTGACATCAGTCCGAATACAAAAGTTGTCTTGTCCTATCCTGTTATGTTATGTCATTACATGTCATGTTATGTCATATGATGTCATGTCATGTCATGTAATGTCATGTGTATGCAAGATGGGAATATTCTGACCTTCAACAGTACCAACCCAGATTTTATTTTTGAACAAATGGCCATCAAAATACGACTCTACAGCTAAATCTAGAACCTGTAGAGAAAGAGTTAGACAAATAGATGAGTGAGTAGTCTATAAAAGTCTTGATTCTTCAACCATGATGATGAGAAATAAAAATAATAATAATAATAAATACCCTTAAATTTTGGATACTTTCATACTGCATGCAATCGTATTTAGGGAGAATTATTTCTACAAGATGTCCTTTCTTCTGTAATGCTTTACTAAGAGCAGACAACACATCACCTAAACCACCAACCTAATAATCAAAAACAAAAATTAGGCAAAAATGTAAGTTAATTTCATAAATGCATATAGTTTTTTTTTCTATTTTGGCACATTGTTAAATAAAGAGTTATATGCAAGAACTAGCAATGTATGTACTTTGATTGATTTGTTTATTATTGTACTTTGAAAAATCTACCCAATTTTTTACAATATACAAGATTAAAATTATTATTATTATTGTTATTAAAAAAGTTGCAGCTAACAAGAATATTTACCTTAGCAACTGGAGCCATCTCAGCAGCAATATGAACAACATGCAATCCTGAACTACAATAAAAAGAAAACAATGATTTATACAAATAATAACATGCTGAAAATTTAAGTCATTAAATAAATAAATAAATAAAAATACCCGGATGATGAAGATGTCAATCTACGAAAAGCAGCAATAATTTCACGCTCATTTTTTTCCTTACATTCTATATAAACATCATGAATCCTTCCATCTTTCTTCCATGTCATTTCCCTTAAAAACTTAGCCTCATCTCCATGAATTTTCTTTTCAAGAAACCAAGCATCAAACATAAGCAATAAACGACTCCAAAATTCCCATGGCATATCCACTTGTTTACCCGATGCTTTTTTCTTACTTTCTTCTTTTAAATTGTCAAGTGTTTCTTGAAACTCCTTCACTGAATCTTGATATAATTGTACATAAGAATGTATTTCTGCATCTGATCTTTCAAGGCGTTCATCAAGTAGTTTAATTTTCTGTTGCATTAGATCGTTATATTGTTGTAGCTTTTCTGATGATAATTTGTAAATGTTGGCATCTTCAAGAGACTCTTCAAGTCTTTCAACTTTCTTTCGAAGCTCCTGGTTTTGTTGTAGTACTAAGATAGCTTGATCTGCTTGACTTGTTGACTTGTCAAGTAATCCTTGCAAATGCTCTACCTAAAACACAAGATTATTAAAATTTCTTTTATATTTTTATAAAAAAATACCTTACAAATGCTTTACCTTATTCCAAAGGGTCTCACACTCTGATCTTAAAGTTGAAAGTTGAACACTATCTTGTTGAGAAACAGTGAGCTTGTATTCCAACTCCTTTATGGACAATTCCAAAACAGTGCGTTCATTTTCAAGCATTTCAACACGTTCGTCTGTTCTCTTGACATCCCTGAGTTGTTCTTTAAGGGTATTTAGGTCATTTTGCAGGGACATGTTTTCATTTCTTAATGCATTCAGCTCCTCACTTAAAGCACGGGTTTGTCGATCAGGAGATCGAAGAACAACAGCATCATGTGCTCCATTATTAGACATTTCAGATTGAAGTTTCTCTAAATGATCCTGTAAAAGCTCAACATGTATCTTATCTTGTGCAGCAACTCTGATTCTGGCATCAGTTTCAGCTAACCTCATTTCCAAATTGTTGATTTCTCTTTGTAAGACCTCTTTTTCACTAAGAACTGTTTCCAAATCTTCAATTGCATTGATTCGGGCTTGGTTTAGGATATGAATATCTAGAAAACAATTAGACATTAAAAAGAATTACAGGAAAATACGATCTTTTTTTTAATACTAAATAGAATTTATACTCAAGAGGAAAAAGATTGTACTTTTCTCTGCATTACGTATCATTCCTATTACATCCTGAAGATTTACAGTTGTAACCTCGCCCACTTTATCTGCACCAATAGACTGTTAAGATGAAAAATCAGATTATTAATAATAGAAACAGATGTAAGTTAGTTTCTAGTTCTTTATCACTTCAGGTTTCTTTCCTATATACTCTGTTTAAAGCCTTTTGTTCAGATCAATACAGCTTCACTAAAACTACAGCATTCAACTTAGAAAAGCTCAAAATAGCTGGAAACAGATGTAACAACAATACCTAGGATAAAACCATCATATATGAATATTCTTGAGGCATACCGGGATCAGTTTGTTGTTTGAATTCTTATCATCAAAACGTTGAATTGCTACAACCTCATCAGAGGTACACTGATGAGAAAAGTCATCTTCATTTTCTGAATCACTATTTTCATTGCCAGGTGTCATGAGATTGTCATTTTGAGGAATCTGTGCAGGGATGATTTTCTTTGCTTGTGGTCTCCTAGGTGGTAAGCTGTGCCAATTTGAACATATTGCACAAAATTAAAAGTCATTACAAAGTAACAAAAAGTTAAGATACAATACTGAGGTAATGTATTGTAAACATTTTCCTCTATCATAACAGTTAATAAAAGTATTGTTCCAGATTACTTTAGCAACTGTGGTTCAGTTTACCTAAACTCATCCTGTCAATGAAAGTTTCTAGAGGCAACAAGATATTAACAACGTTCTGTAAAGTAATAACTACTGGTTAATTTTGGTTAGATTTCAATTTCTCAAACAAAGTGTAATCCCTAATTCATTTACCAACAAATTTAAACAATACACATAAACGGATCAAAGCACAATGCAAGGTCTAAACACCAAAATCATTGATCAACGTGAAGCTAAAACAATCATGTTCAATTATAAGATCACATAGAACTAGATACAATAACGGGAGAGAGCTTTAATAATCCGATAGCATTTATGACAAGTTTGCTGTCCATTTAAAATTCCCAAATCTATCACCTTTCTCGAAACAAGGGAAATAAGAATTCATAGTCCAAAATTAGAAATTTATCTCAAAATCGAAAAACAAAGTAAAGAAGAAATAGTGTTTCCTTCCACAACGTAATTCAAGATTATTTTTTTTTTTTAAACGAAACAATGAATAATACCTGGAGTTACGTTGACGTATCTTGCAGGAAACTGTAGCAAACCGAGGAGAAGGCAAAGAGTAAAAGCGCACATTCAAATGCTTACAGTCAACCACTGTACAACAGCTCCATTGATGGCTCAAAAAACACGTTGATAGCTTCCCCGCCATGGACGGAAAAAGAAGAAAAAGTTCTCCACTGTGTGAATTTGTGTGTTATTAGGGAAGAAGACGAACGGAAAAGGGCGATTTTATCTATTTCAGGTGGTTTTAAATAAATCTCAGAAAGTAATATTCATGTGTGTGAAGGTGTAGGTCTTACTGACACGTGTACGTATGTGATTGTGTTGTAGGGTTTGGGGGTTCATCCAACGGTAAAGAAGCGAATAACTTGGAGATTTGGACATCGAGGTGGTGTAGTTTAGACTTACTGTGGATTGCTTTCGAAACATAGAATAGAACGTGCTTTTCCGCGGTTATGAAGCAGTGATTCGGTGCGGGGTTGTGTAGGTAGGAGATACGTGTGACGGGATTTGAGGTGGTGATAGACAAAATAGACTTGATCGGACGGTGGGGAAACGAAGTTTGAAAAAATATATATATATATTTAAAATAAAGTAAGTTACACATTTGGTCCATTATGTTTGTCCAAATTCACACTTTTAGTCCTAAATTGTGGCTACGGTGGCGAACAACTAGGGGTGCAAACGAGCCAAGCTACTCGGGATCGGATCGTTAAAAGTTCGACTCGAAACCGATTTTAAACGAACTCGAGCCGAGCTTGAGCTTAGTATTAAGCTCGTTTATTAAACGAGCTCGAGCTCGAGCCTATGTCATTAAGCTCGATTAGGCTCGCGAGCCTAAACGAGCCTTTATATAATATAATTTATTATTATTTATATATATTAAAATAAAAACATATTAGGGGATTTATGGATTTAGGGTATTGGTAAACGAGCAACGAGCTTAAACCGAGCTTAAGCTTATTTAGGCACGTCAGATAAAAAACGAGTTGAGCTCGAGCCCGAGCCGAGCTTGTATAATTCTTTACCAGCTCGAGCCGAACTCAGTACAAGAAAGCTCGAATAGAGCCAAGTCGAGCTCGAGCTCGAGCTTCATATAAATTAAACGAGCCCGAGCCAAGCCTGTCAGGCTCGGGCTCGGCTCGCATCGTTTGCACCCATACGAACAACAATGACCATACACACCACCTTGTGTATGTCATGATGGCTGTGATTATAACGTAAAAAAAAAAAAGTGTCTTTTTTCAAATTTTAAACACATTTCACCCATATTAATACAACACTACATTTTACCCCACTTTCACACAATCTCACTCTTTTTTTATACTTTTTAACACCACAAAGATGGAACTTTCTACAAATTATGATTTGGATGATGGGAATTTTATCGTAACGTTCTTTAATGTTGTTTAAAACATAGTCAATCAAGAGCACACGTGTGTTAGTAATACAAAAGCGGTTATTAATCAAGATCAGCAAGCCGCACATGAATTTTTAGTATGTAATTATTTTGTCAATGATTGTCTTTATGATGATGTAGCATTCAATCATCTTAATCATATTAGTAGGGAAGTATTTTAAGTATCAAGAATGTTTTAAAGTTGCACTATAACCAGATGCTAGAGATAAAAAGGATTTTAGGATTATTTGAATGTTTCGTTTTTTTTCTATGTTTGTTTTATTTTATTTTATTTATGTGTTTTTATTTTAATTAAAAATCTAGTATTTTCATTTAGTATTAAAAGATGTCAAAGTGATAAATCTTGATATATGATATCTAGAATGAAAGTGTAATCGCTAGAATTAGAAGTATGATGTCACAATTAAAAGTAAGATATCTAAATTAAAATATGATGTCACAATTAAAAGTAAGATATCTAAATTAAAAGTATAACGCCTAAATGGTAAAAGTAAGAAATGGTAATTTTGTTGGTATCTAATATCTAATATTAAAGGATACTAACAACCGTAAATTAGTAATGAAATATGAAAACAATAAGTTATTAATAACCTACACCCCCTCTTCTCTAAATTTACTCGTAATCTACATTATGAGGGGTACCACAAAAACTTCTTATACCGCTATGCTAGAGACCCTTTCTAGTTTCAAGACAATGAATGCAACAAATTAAACATTTACATATATTACAACACATAAGAATTTAAATGTTGGAAATCAAGAATTACAAGGTAAAGAAAAAAACAGAGATTAGATAGGTTGTAGCTTCCAATCAAATTCTAAGTGTTTGCAATTGGTTGAACCTTTCACCTTCTCTAGTGCTGCATTTCTATGTTGCAACAAATGAAGCCCTCCCTCATCCTTCGAGTTCCTTTTACGCCCCATTTTACGTGATATGTTCTTCCATCTAAACTCAAACTTGCATGCTACAACACAACAAAAGGCATGCATAGTACCAATGTTTTTTTAATTTTATAAATAACTAATATATAAAATATGATTATAAAGATATACCTCTTCAAAGATATATACATTTTTATTTTGTATATTTAATAAGATAGATCCATTAGTCAAGAAACAATAAATATTTAAAAGACAAATAGGGGAGTAATTGAAATATCATTGAAAGAAGGGGGCAAAATGTAAATAAAAAAATCAAAAGTAAAATGGTTTAACAACCACTTATATAGATTGATAAGTGGTTGATGTAAAAAAAAAAAAAAACCAAAAAAAATCACTCTATTCCAATGGTAATAACCTATTAAAAGACTAAATGAAATAGTAAAAAATTATGTAACAACCTCCCATTGAAGATGCTCAAGAACACAAAAGGACCAAATGCATAATATAAAAGAAGATCATAACAGATTAGAAGCTTACCTTCACTTTTACTATCAAAACCTCGAATAAGGCATGCGCAAATCCAAGGTCTTCCAGCTTGTGATGCTTTTGCACCACCTTTTAATTCACCATTATGTTGCTTCAAGCTGCAAAAAGGAGGTCAAATAAGCAAAATTTTACTAAACAAGATGATTGAATTGTATGCCTAAAATATGCATTGTAACCCGTTTAAATGCTTATTTTTGCAACAATATTTCTTTCTTTTTGCACAAACGAAAGATTGAGAATGAGTCCTGATTTAGGTCATAATTGGTTGGGTTGCTGTGAAAAGAAATAAAACAGTGCAAGTTATACAGATACATGGATTTCCCTTGAACTGTAATCAAATGGTAATATGATTCCTTCTTCTCCCTGAACCTTTAATCCCTACTGAAACTTAAAAAGACTCAAGATCCCTCTTTTTTATAAAGTCATTGGTTTCCAAATTATGCCTATATTTCCAAAACATATTGATAACCCCAGAGATTACGAGATCAAATCCCACCATTAGGGTGCCTAAACTTCGTACTCGGACCTTTTTTTTACCAGAAATGAAGAAAGGGTGGAAATCTACGGCATTTCTTCAATTTTACAGATTTTCAGATATATGAAAATCACAGAGCATAAAGATAGATTGAATGGGGGTTTACCGGCGAGAAAAGTTTGTGGTGACGCCAACGTAAGTTTTGATCGGTGGATTAGTCGATAAGATTAGATACACCGACCAATTAGGTTGCTTTGAGGCCACCGACGGCGAGGGATTGGAGTTTAATGATGATGGCGATGAAGATGGAAGTCTGATTGAAGGTGATTTTGGAAGCTGAGAATGTGGTTTGATGGATCGGAAGGTTGTGGACAGTAACCTCGTCATTCACGTCTCCAAAGCCTACAAATTGGAATTTCTGCTTTCTTTCCATCTCAACGAACAGATCGTTGCAGTCTTCCGGGTGTTAGATAAAACTAGTACATCAAACCGCAGAGGCCCCCATAAACCGCCCAAACCGCACCACACCGCACCGCATAATACGGTTTTGGACGCTCGTGGTGCGGTTTGCGGTTTGTAGCTTTCATAAACCGCACTATGCGGTGCGGTTTGCGGTTTATAGTTACCAAACCGCGGTTCAAACCGCACTGCAACATACCATATATATATATATATATATATATATATATATATATATATATATATATATATATATACACACACAACACACTAGATGTTTACCACTTTTAATACCCTTAATAATGTTTATGAGATTGCGATTGATAAACATGAGTCAAAATGTGAAACCAACTATATCAAAAATATGTGTTTACCGTGCCATAAGTTCGTATTATAATTTTAAAACATTGTAAAATATTTTGATGTTATGCATTAAGAAGATGCTTATACAGCTAATTAATCTTTTCTTCATAGAATATAAAGCACCACACATTTATTATGTTTAAAACTAAATTTAATATTTATGTTTATGAACCCGCATAAACCGCACAAAAATCGCAAAACCGTCCGCACAAAACCGCACCGCATAACGCGATTTATAACATTTGTGGTGCGGTCTGCGGTTCCCGAAAATAACAAACCGCATATGTGGTGCGGTTTGCGGTTTTGAGTATAAACCGCACCAAACCGCACCGCGAACACCCCTAGATAAAACCATTAGCTTGCGATGGTAAAATAACTTAAAAAATAATAAATAAATAAATAAATAATTTGGATTAGTTTTTACAAAAAGTGAATAAATTAATAAGTTAAAAAGTGTTTTTTTAAGTTATTTTGATTAAAAAGCCATAAAAAATTTAAAAAAATCAAAGTTTTACATGTTTATTAAAAAGTGTTTTTAAAACTTATGGAAAAGCTATTCTGAAAAATGTTTTTGAGTTTGTCAAACATTTTTTCTTTTAATTTATTAGTTTTTTAAAAAGTCAATAAGCTGTTTTGAAAAACAATCACAAACACCCCCTACATTATTATTATTTATTATTAGGGTAAATTACTAGAATAGTTCTTATGGTTTGACGTCGTTTGCATGTTTGGTCCCTTAATTTCTTTTAATTAATTTGATATGTCCTTATAATTGGTTTTTGTTGTGATTATGGTTATGACAGATATGAAATGTCTCTTTTGCCTATTTTGCTTTATTTATTTATTTTACTTTTTTAATTGTTTGTTTTTCTTTTTATACTAATAATTAAAATAATGACTAATACCATAAAAGTCTTAAGTTTTTACCATTAAATTGGCAAAAGCCTTAAATTTAATTTTTCGTTGACTATGGACACGATATTTTCGTTTACTTATCACTTGGGAGCTAATAGCCGGTAACGAGCAGGTCAAATGTACTCATCTGGTCACCACTCTCCTTAAAACATTACCCCATTCGAATTATAACATATTCCCTAGCCATCACCTTTCACGGGCCATCGCTGAGAAAGGGTTTCATGCATTCGACCTTTCACGGTAGCTGAGAAGGGTTTCATAGTCCCCAATTTCACATCTTTGAGCTCCAAAATCGTTGGTAAAGTAAGTTGGAGTAAAAAGGTACGTATATGGAACCAAAGAAATTGATGCCTCTTGGGTGGTTATCTTACGTTAGGAGTTCCAAGTGTGAAGTAACAAGTTTGTTTTTCTTATGTAACAAATGGCTTCTACTTCTGGCAACAAGAAGCCTAAAGGGCCTGAGAAGACTTACCTTCCAGACTCCGACTCCGATGATGAAGCATTTGACTTTAGCTTCTTGGATTTTTCTAAAGAAACTTTCAAAATCCCCTCAAAACTATGTGATGACCATTTCCTTAACTTATTGTGTGATGAAAACATTTTAAGGAGGAGTATTGATGGAATGGCGGATAATAGAGACAATCATGGTGGCCAACAAAATGAGCATGCCTAATTAGATGAGGATGATGAAGATGTTGGCATGGAGTATAAGGTGCATGATCCTATTGTTGACTGGAAAGAAATGAAGCCACGATTAGAAGATTGTTATGAATCCCCTGATCAAATCAGGTTTGCTTTAACAAACTATGCAGTTTATGGAGGTTACTCACTTTATTTTGAAAAAAAAGTGATAGAGTGAGGGTTATAGCTAAGTGTGGAAGTGGAACTTGTAAAAATGAAAAAATACAGTGTCCATTTAGGGTTGCAGTTGGATGGCAGTACAATGAAAGGACATTCCAGGTTAAATTTTGTAATGACATTCATCTATGTATTAGGAATTATCACTTTGGTTCCCTAGTTACTAGCAATTGGATAGCCAAACACTACCAGGAAGATATAATCATGAAGCGAAGACATTGCTAGAGATGTAAGCAGATATGCTACAAAAGGTTTTCAGTGAGTGTATCTATTGGAAAATGCCAAAGAGCAAGGGCTACGAAAATGGGGATGATAGAAGGGAAGTTAGAAGACCGTTATGCCAGGGTTTGGGACTATGTAGTTGCAATTAGGTTGACTAATCCAGGTAAACATGCTTGGTGGGGGTAGAAGGTAATCTTGGGTTTAACTATTTCAAGAGGTTTTATGTTGGCTTCAAGGCTTTGAAATATGGATGGAACAGAGGTTGCAGAAGGGTTGTAGGATTGGATGGTAGTTTCTTGAAGGGTAAGATAAATGGGGAGATTCTAACTGCTATTGGGAGAGATGCAGACAACTATGTCTACCCAATAACATGTGCAGTTGTGAATGTTGAGAATAAGAGTATCAAGATATGAAAATCATAAAATCTGAGTATCAAGATGTAACACTTGGATTTTGTAAGTTTCTTATTCCACCCTTGTTAATTAAAAAGTTTGCAAATTGGTCTCTAAGCTAGTACGTGGGGCGTACTAGGAGGTACGCTTGGCGTACTAGCCCGGGTTGATCGCGCCTTTGGTTCACGTACGTTGGGCGTACAAAGGGTACACATGACGTACTTGTGATTAAGTGAAACCCTAATTTTAGGGTGTTGCACCCTATTTAAAACCTAGTGATAGCATCACTAGGTCATGTTTAGATAGCCTCCATCCCTTCTTGTCCAGAAAATCGAACCCTAAGTGAGATCTTGAGAGTTTGAGCCTTAAAGTGTGATTTTTGATGCTTTGTGAAGGAGGAGAAGAAGTGAACCATTTGGAGTTGTGATTGGAGCTTAAAGATCTGAGATTTTCTCTTCATTTGCTTCCTTTGTGAGGTAAAAAGCTTCCATCTTGCTAATCCATGATGTTAGATCCAGTTTGGTGCCATTTTGTGCTTTTTGAGTCCATGGCTTGATTGTTGAGCCTCTTGCTTCACTCTAGAAGTGATTGATGGTAGATCTAGGATCTTTTTGGTCCCTTTGTCCATAAAAATGAAAGCTTGGAGGTGTTTATGGACTCATGCATGTGTTAAGTCGTTTTTTAAGCTCTTATGAGCTATAAGAGCCTCATTAAGCCATGCATGCACGTAAACTTGGCAACTTTACGTGATAAACCACCTTAAGGAAGTCAGATATGAGTTTGGTGTGAAGTCTTAATCGATTAGGAGCTGAATAATGGAAGTTGGTGAAGTTGGTGGAGTACGTTGGACGTACAAGCAGGTATGCTGCGCATACAAGCCCTAAAGCGAGTACGCTAAGCGTATGAGCTGAGTACGCCCTGCGTACTCAGTAGTGGGCCTCAAATTTGTGGGCTTCTCGGTTTTGAGCCATGTTGGACTTTAGTTGTCTTGAGCCTTGCTGGGCCATCAAAATTCTATTATTGGGTTGTTGATATTTTATTGGACTCTTTCGGTTAAAGGCCCATGAAAGGGATTTGGGCCCAATTTGGAAAATTGGGCCATATTTGGGCTTTGGGTGATTATTTTGGAATTTTGGGCCTTTGGATAATTGGAATGGGCCTTGACCTTGGGCCAAGTTGGGGAAAGGGTAACAAGGTCTTTTACCTTAGTTTGGACTCTTAATGTGAGTCGGAATCCAATTATTAGTTGGATGTTATTTTTTGATTATAGCGCGGGGATTTTAGCGGGCCAGCAGTCAGATTCAACAGTCTGCGGTGAGTTTTCTCACTGTATTTAGCGGGTCAAAGGCACCAATGCCGGTCCATGGTTATTATGATAAGATGCTAGATGTTTGTGTGACTCTTGCATGCGTTATGTGCTGGTATGTATACCGAGCGAGGCTCGACGTCGGGCGAGGCCCGATGGTTGTATTGTATGTTATTGGTTTGTGGTTATTGAATGTGTTAGCATGATTATATGTTTATATGTTTATTATGTGTACCTGGCGGGGCCTAACGAATGACAAATCTGTAATCCGAGGGAGCTCGATGTTGGGCGGGCCCGAGGCCGAGTGGGACTCGATGCCGGGCGAGGCCCGATGTGGGGCAGGGGGCCAGTATGTGTTTATTTATGTATGGTATGTGGTATTTTGGAGAATTCACTAAGCTTTGGGCTTACGGTTTTCAGTTTATGTTACAGGTACTTCCGGATCGAAAGGGAAGAGCCTGGGATAATTGCAGAGCACACACCACCTTTTTCTGCATTTTGAGATTTACTCTGATATGTTTTGATGTAGTGACATATTTTGATCTTTTTGGGGGTTGTATGACAATATTTGGATTAATGTTTTTATTAAATCAAAAATGAAATTTTGGATCTTATTTTTGGGACGTTACACAAGATATGAAAATCACAAGTGTCATAAAAACCAAGCCATGAGAAATCCCAGGTATATCAATACAATCATCAAATCAAAGTATCAAGATATGAAAATCATAAAATCTGCAAGTTGGAGCATACAGTCAAGCATTCGCCTTTCTGTGATCATCTAAAGTACCTGAAACATATTTAATCCACAACTGTAAGAATAAATATTAGTGAGTCCTTCTCAAAATATCCATATAGTACAACACAATAAACAACTATGGGTTATCAGCAACCCTGAGGATTATCAACAATCCCAGTAGGCTAACTGCACACCTTGTGGATTAACAACATGTTCTATGGGTTATCAATAACCCTGGGGATTCTCAGAAATCCCAAGTTATCAATAATACAATTCAGTTCATACATAACAATAATCAACACTTAAGACCCAATTGGCCACTGATATAAATAACATTCAGGTAAATGTAGTGAGAAGACTCACCTCACAAGTAGCACAAACAGCTCACACAAGGTATACGGGTACAAATAAGCACCTAATCAGTAATAAAGAAAGTCACATTTTCAAACTATGCTCAAAACCTAATTTTGGACTAAAAGTCAACATTGGTTAAAGTCAACGGCATATGCCATGCGTACAAGATGCTCTGCGCATAGCGTAGAGCTTGGGTGGTTATGGGCTGAAATCAAGCTACGCCCGGCGTAGCATATATTACGCCCTGCGTACTAGGTCTGAACACCAAAAATCCCATAAATATCTTATTACATAAATTTAGCTCCTTAAAGTTTCATATATGAATCAAAGGGACGACTTAATGGATAAAGTCTCTGACTTTATCCATTTGCATGCCATAAATGGACAATAAACCAAGCCCTAAGTCCATGGCATGCACTAAAGCTCAAGAGCTCATGCATGGGGGTAGATGGGGTGATTAAGTTATCAACTCTATGATTCAGAAAACCCCAAAATAACAAGAAATGATCATCAAGTGGTCTGGAGTAGATCATACTCACAATATCCAAGGTTATGGGACAAAAACATACAAAATGCATAACTAACTAGATATAGCATGAGAGATTTCCAAGATGGAAACTTTATACCTCCAGGAGGTGGACAACAAAGTGAATAATTTGGATCTACAATGCCTAGACTCTTAGATGCTTCTCCAAGGGTCTTCTTATTCAAAGTAGCACACACACAACACTTAGAACCTACAAAATCTCTCACAGATGATTAGGGTTTCGGAGGGACATGATGGGAGGACGGAGGCTGGGTATGAAGAGGCCCTCGAGAGGGTTAGGGCCTTTAAATAGGCTCACAACCCCGAAATTATGGTTTAAGGTTTTGCGTATTACGATCTATATAGTTAGGCTTACACCTAGAGTAAGTCATTAATTGTCCGCAAGGAATCTTTCTCCTATGTTGAGCACATGATGCCATCCTACGCCCGACGTAGGACTCAAAATTGCATTAAATGCTTAAAATATGTCAAGGAAAATCATACCTGCAGGTTTGAGTGTTACAAATCTCCCCCACTAGAATCAGACTTCGCCCTAAAAGTCTTCGGTCTCGAATAAAGCATTATAGTGGGTACACATCTTCTTCTCGGGCTCCCAAGTCCATTCTGCGTTCTCCCAGTGTTGCCACTGCACCTTCACTAAGTCTACCACCTTGTTCCGCAGAGTCTTCGTCTTTCCGTCGATAATCGCTACCGACCGCTCGACATAATTCAGGCAGTCATCAACCTGAATATCATCCTGAGGTACTACAATTGTCTCGTCTGCCACACACTTCCGCAACTGGGACACATGGAAGGTATTATGAATCTGATTGAGCTCATCTAGTAAATCTAAGCAGTAGGCCACCTTGCTCACCCTCACTGCTACCCAAAAAGGACCAATAAACCTGGGACCCAACTTTCTCCACTTTCTGAATCGAATGACGCCTTTCCAAGACAAAACCTTCATAAGTACCATATCCCCAACCTGAAATTCCAACTCAGATCGACGTCGGTCGGCGTAGCTCTTCTGGCGACTCTGGTCTGTCTGAAGTCTCTGCCTAACCTGTTGTATAAGCTCTGTTGTCTTGAGCACTATCTTTGTGCTCCCCATGACCTTCTGACCAACCTCTCCCCAACAAATTGGGGTCCGACACTTACTCACATAGAGGAGCGCAAAGGGTGGCATACTAATATTGGCGTGATAGTTGTTGTTATACGAAAACTCAGCCAAAAGGATGTAAGAGTTCCACCTCCCACCGAAATCCAATATCCAAGC